CATGCACCCGCCAAACCCCCTGTTTATGAATGAAAAGCGGTTTACACACGACTCACAACTGCTGACGTTCGAACATATCCGGAACAAGTGCTTCACTGACGAATTTTGTTCGAATCACAACGCAATAAATGCTTCACCCACGTACTACAAATACCAATAATCGCCAACAGAACCGAAACACCTAACCTATCCTATGCCTATATATACACAATATGCTAATATATTATAATATTAATTTATACTTGAGAAAATTCCCGTTTTGAATGAACAGCATGTTAAAATTTATGAATGCGTCTGGGGGGGTTGACCGCTGAATGCAATGGACTTGAGTCGAGGACAGGTTGGTGAACCACAACGCTGTAAATGCTTCACCCACGTACTACAAATACAAATTATCGCCAACAGAACCTAAAGACCTAACCTAACCTATGCCTATATATGTACACTATGCTTATATATAATAATATTGATTTATATTTGAAAAAAAATCCAGTTTTGAATGAAGAGCATGTTAAGATTCATGAATGCTTCCTTGGGGGTCGACTGTTGGATGGAATGGACTTGGTCTGAGGACGGTTTGCAGCAAATGCTTTACCCTTGTACTTTAAATACAAATAATCTCCAACAGAACCTAACCAAACCTACGCCTAACTATACACAGAATGTTTATGTATAATATTAATTTATACATGAGAACAAACCAATTTTTAATACACAGTATGTTAAAATTAATGAATGCATCTGGGGAGGACAGCCGCGGCTTTAACCAGCCTAGTGTTAGAACGGCCGCTGCTTTAACCAGCCTAGTGTTAGAACGGCCGCTGCTTTAACCAGCCTAGTGTTAGAACGGCCGCTGCTTTAACCAGCCTAGTGTGAGGATGGCCGCTGCTTTAACCAGCCTAGTGTGAGGATGGCTACTGCTTTAACTAGCCTAGTGTGAGGACGGCCGCTGCTTTAACTAGCCTAGTGTGAGGACGGCCGCTGCTTTAACTAGCCTAGTGTGAGGACGGCCGCTGCTTTAACCAGCCTATAGTGTGAGGACGGCCGCTGCTTTAACCAGCTTAGTGTGAGGACGAGTTATCTGGGGAGAACGGCCGCTGCTTTAACCAGCCTAGTGTGAGGACGGGTTGTCTGGGGAGGACGGCCGCTGCTTTAACCACCCTAGTGTGAGGACGGGTTGTCTGGGGAGGACAGCCGCTGCTTTAACCAACCTAGTGTTAGAACGAGTTGTCTGGGGAGGACGGCCGCTGCTTTAACCAGCCTAGTGTGAGGACGGCCGCTGCTTTAACCACCCTAGTGTGAGAACGGATTGGAGGCGTCAGAATTAAGTCTGTTCCTGTACCCACTTGAGTAAAAAAAAAAGTTTGTTATAGCGTGATGGTGGAATGTGGTGGGAGGGAATGTCGTGTGGAAGGTGCTCCCACACTGTCGACAACGGTCATCTTAGCACTTACCTGTTCATGTGAACATGTGTGTGTCGTGTTAAACAGCGCCAGGCTGAGATTGATCCAAGGTAGAGTGCAGACCGCTGGAGAACCAACCATCAACGTCCGCTGCCGACTAACACGAAATCCTCATTAATAATTGGTTCAGTGAAATGCCATGATGCAATTAATAATATTTGGAACAGCGTAATACAAAGTTCGCCTTTACAACTGTATTGGTATAACATAAAATTCTAATTAACAATCATGACTTTGCACAGAGAAACCACATTAGTGTGATGTATTTAACGAGGAAATCAACTGGAACCGTGATAAGGATTCGACTCTGTGCTCTAAATGAATTGTGGGGTCCAGTCCCTGAGCCCATTATGTGCCTCTGTAATCCTTTCCACTACCGCCCACAAGATGGGTATGAGGTGCATAATAAATGAACTAAACTAAAAAAACTAAAACTGCTCTGGGTATTCCCAAGCACACGCCTTAGACAACTAGGCCACATGGTAAAAAGGATTACTAACCTGGGAATCTACTGAATCCATGGAGGTTTCTGAGGCTTCCACTTAAGCCGAACCAGGGGTTTCACACAATCCCCGAATGCACTCTGGCTCTGTCAATCATGAATTCTACCTCTAACGCTTCCACTTTTAAGGCATCTTTGTCAAAGACGTGTGCTTAGGAGTACCTAAAACAGGTTCGAATCTTCATCACGGCACCTACCGATTTTAATCACGGCAATTTTTTTCTTTACAAAAGTCAGCATTAACGGAACAGTACACCCTTCTGAATACCAGTATAACATGTCGAACAATATTAGTATCTTGGTCCTAGTCAAGAAACTAAAAGCAAAATCACGTTTAAAATCGGTGACTTCAACATTGATCTGTCAACCAAATTACCCGGTATGCTAAGAGCCTAACACTGTAAACTCTTGCAAGCTAATATTATAAATCTGGTTAGCAATGCCAAAACGCTTCAGTCACCCTTTGCATTTGAGTGCTCAATAGCTGACTACAATTCAAGTAGTCTTGGACTTAATCAAACTAGAAATGCTAGTTTGCTAGAAATGCTAGTTTGCTAGAAATGCTAGTTTTAAATGCTCTACAAATAAAGGGTCCCAGAATGTGGAATGACCTTCCCAACCATGTTAAAGACTGTACCTCTCTCAACCAGTTTAAGATAAAATCGAAGCACTACCTAATAAATTCCCTGTAACCTACCTTACCCCTCTGTTGTCAACCCATGTCTGTTTTCTTAAACAACGCTGTTTGTCTACCTAATTGTATTTGTGCTGCTTTTTCAGCCATGTTTCCCCCTTTTTTATCTTTATTTTTATTTGTTCTCAGCACATTTTATTCTTTATACTCAATTAGTATTAAGTTTTAGTCATTAATGTTTTTCCTGCCCGAAACGCTTTGCGTAATAGTGGCTTTAGGCATTGTATGTACTAGCTCTATCTATAAATCGATCAATTTATGTAAAATCTCTTGTATGTATGTACCTTACCTGAATAAACATTTTATTTTATTTCATTTTTAATCTAACAGATCTCTAACCTTGTTGATAACATAGTATGTGTGATGATTAGCACTGTAAATGAAGAACAATATGTGGTAGAAAATGAACTAAACTTAAGTCACCCACCTAACCTATCCAACCCATGCATATAAAATGTGGATATTTGTCAGCCGATACTGTTCATAGTAGGTTGTATTCTGTACGTTAGTGACCATGATGTACAAAGTGAGGGTTATTAGTTGAGAGGTTGCATAAATACCCTCTACAGATGCATAGTTGTTACCATCTGAGTTTACCATAACCACCTGAAAACTACCACATTTCCAGCTTTCATCTGGTTAAGGTTCCGGACCAACCGGGCTGTGGTGGGTTGTGGGCCTGCGGGCCGCTCCAAGCAACAGCCTGGTGGACCAAACTCTCACAAGTCAAGCCTGGCCTCGGGCCGGGCTTGGGGAGTAGAAGAACTCCCAGAACCCCATCAACCAGGTATCAACCAAGGTGAAAAACGTGACAGGTATATCGAATGTTTCCTCATTGCCATTTTCTTGTGTAGTTATTGATGAGTGCATGAGCCGAACCTCACGTCCATGTCTATCTTAATTATTGGGGCCCGATTAAATTTGTTAAATCTGTATTCTCTAGAATGCAGAAGGGAGAGATACATAATAATTTCAACTTGGAAAATATATGAGGGACTGGTTCCAAATCTGCACGCGGAAATAACATCACATGAGACCAGGAGGCATGGCAGGATGTGCAGAATATCCCCGTTGAAAAGCAGAGGTGCAATAGGCACGTCGTTTTGAGACAACTCAAAATCAAAGGCCCAAGACTGTTCATCACACTCCAATGAGTTGAACAATCTTGGACATAGCTGGCCGGCCTCTCACGGTGGTCCAAAGAGAACTCGATAAACACCTTTGAAGAATACATGATCATCTAGGCTGTAAATCGTTCGTCAGGCTACAAGCAGCCGCATCAAACAGTCTGGTTAACCAGACCACCAACCTGGAGGCCTGGTCAGAGACCGCGCCGCGGGGACGTTGATCCTAGGAATCACCACAGGCCATAACCACAAGGCAGACATAAAATCATTCCTATGTAATCAATGCAACGTGTCATATTTTATTTTAAATTATGCTTATGAGATCTGACCTTTATGTATGAATACTTTATATAATGTATACAGTATTATACATTGTAAGATGTGTAATATCTCCCTTTCTGGACTTGAACTGTTTTGGCCATCTGCTCAGAAATCCAACTTTCGAAGACTTGGCAAAATCATGACAAAAGAAATAATATTAAAATTGTTACCCTAGCCCAACATAGGCCAACCATGAGCTTCATCTAATCACCTTCCCTAACGTTATATTTTTCATTTTCATGTTAGTGTCTCGACAGATTCACATATTAAAAATATGTATCAGACGAGAAAAAGTCCAGCATCACAGGTAAGATAAATTAAAGTACATGATAAGTACATTATAAATCTTCAAGTACACGATAAATCTTGCACTTCTCATATCACTCTCTCCCTTCTCTATACATTTTAAAAGACTTAAACATTTCGAATGAACTTTTTGCCAGAACAATTTATCAACATTTAGGAACAGTTCAAATATTCATTATACCTTCCCTGTTGGTAAGACCCGTGTTTGTAACTACTTTAGCATTGCTCTCATATATTACACACTGTCTAATTGTATGACTGGGATGCTTCTTATGTTTATAAGTCAGGATTGAATATCATTCGAGCAACAAAAATGGAAGAAATCCACTTTAGAGTTTAAAAACTACTCTGCCCTGTATATAATATACATATAACATACAAATAATATACTTTTTAAACCTAGTTTATCTTTGCACCTAAGTAAATTATACATATAGGAACCAATTTGGGTCATACCAACCTTAAAAAGCAAGATATACACAAAAATGTGTAGTCAACTTATATCCCCTCATCGATCTTTTCACCTTCGGGTAATTCTCCCTATTTCGTATTTACCTCTCAGCCACTCCTTTCACCCACAGCTTGCCGTCTGGTCCTGATGTACAACACAGAGTACGCAGGATATGACTGTGCCAACTTCCCAGGAGGCACGCTGGGTTTCTTCCCATCTCTCCTACAGTGTCTGAAGTATTCCTGTGCTGGAATGGTCTGCAGAGATCCTAGTGAGTTGTCCTTGGTACTGGAATAATGTTCTGGAGTTTACCAGAGTGGGTAAGTTTAGATTCAGGAAAGACCTGGGTAACTATTAGTTAGGAAATAGGGCTGTTGATGTTTGGAATACATTATTGTTGGTGTGTGTGTGTTTCACACCAACCATGGTGTTGGTGGGTAACATAAAAAGACAGTGGTTTTCAATTGGAAGCTTTAGGAATACAAATAAGTTTAGGTGAATACAGATAGGAGACGCCTCGAATCAGCCAATAGGACCATTCGAGGCGAGGCGTTTTGTTTAAATGAATTGTATGTTGTCTACCAGTATAGCTACCCCTCAGATTCTAGGTATGTTCAGTTAAGCACAATTTATATTTCAATAATGTACACAGTTATCGGGGTATTAAAATCTAAATAATTGGTGACCCACAGAGAGATTTACCATTTCACAGATTTTGGAAACATACGATTCAAACAAGTTTTAAGTAATGGCAATGTCTTCTCACAGACATAATTACATAGTATAAAAGCCCAAACTTATGTATTTGTGTATTTTATGTAAAGATATACACCAATTCTTTTGCACTGTCGTGGGTGCTTTGTCAAGGTCTGAGTATGCGGTTAGGAGACGTACACATCTCACCGACTAATACGGCTACTCCCTGTTGTTGAAGATTAAGCCAATACAAGAGGTAGCACTAGCATGAATAGCCCTTAGGTGGTAGATGTTTAGAGTGAATGTGGTGTTTGATCTTGTAACATCTTGAAGTGTGTGTGTGTCTGGTACCCAGGATCCTGTCCTCTTACCCTTCATGACCATGTCACCTCTATTCCAGACTACCGATGTAATTGCTGGGATATCTACAATTGAATTATGGCTAGTTGTTTTTTCAGTTCTCCTCATATCCCGATAAATGGAGTTATTAATAAAGGTTTTCGCCTGGATGCTATCCCTCGTAACTCCTTCCAGACCAAAAGGAGACGGCTATTGGGACTACATACATTCATCCATTTATTCAGATCTAATGATTAAGATCTGAACTTAGAGGGGTCTTAATAACCTAAAGCATTCCATAGTTTACTATGAAAAAAAAAAGTTAAACCAAAAACTCCCCTTTTTAGATTGCATTGTAATTTGATCCAATTCATAAGATTGTTATTGTTTGTTAACCAAAATCATTAAATACATTTTTACTGGCCATATATACTCTCACAATTGTCATATAGTAGTCAAGAATGATTACATTGAGTCCTTATATCAGCATTCATATGAATATGTATTCACCCCAAACGGCTATTATTGTATGTTCTCTATCGGTTGTTGGATTTTTTTTCAGATGCCTGCTGGCTCAAGGCTTCAACTCATATCATACAAAGCAATTCACCATCTACCTCAACGTACATTTACTGGTATACAAAGTGCCAGTAGTAGTCTCATCGAGGCACTTCTTCATATGTCCATAGACAACTTACTTCCAAGCAGAGGAATTAAAGTTGCAGACAGCATGAGATCGTTGCAAGATGTTCCATAGTTATTAAAAAGATATTCAGAAGACTAATGCTTTACAGAGATGCCATAAATATTCATCTTTTTTTCTGCACGCCACTATAAACTACTGTTTAAGTGATGATTGTAAGTAAACTGTGTTTTAGAAGAACAGATGACAGATATCAAAGTATATACACAGTATAAAGGCTGATTGAAAAACTAAACCAGATAGCTGAGAGAGTATTAGGAAATCATCTCTCTTTTTTTTTCTTTTAGCTAACTGTGGAATCTGAAGTATCTGAGCAATCAGCTGGTGTCAATAGTCAGTGCTGCCAGTACAGTTCTGCCAAGAGTACAGGAATACTAATTTGAATGTTTTGACAGGTACATTAATCTGCAAGCATAATTATGAAAATATATAACTAATGTAAGGCGGGGCAAATCTGAAAATGAAATCAATATTAATTTGCCAATTTTGTCAGTGATAATTTTCCTGAATTGTTAAGATAATTGGGCTAATGATATATACTAGGTAATTATTTTTCCTCATTATTGATATTTGTGTTAAATTTATCTAATTTGCAAAGAGTAAATATTTGCCAGAATAATGGTTGTGTGTCAGTCTCAACAAGAGGTTTAACTTGATATAATCTATAAATACACAAATGTTTTATTTTCACCTTTCTGCTGTGTATTTCCTCCCTCCCTGGGAGATTGCCTGAAAAGCTGGTTTTTGTCTTAAGATTGTTATTATATCATATCTACTTTTTCAAGTCAAATTAGTGCATATTTTACTCTTATGGCATCTTCTTTAACAGGTGAATACCTCCACTGATATCTTCAAAGAGCTAGTCAGGAAGATTTAAATGAAAAATAAGTAGTGAAAGAATCAAGTCATTAATGCATTGAATATCAAATTTAGCAGTACAGTGTTAGAAGAAATATAATAGAAACCATCATAACCTTTATGACAACCTGCAAAAAGGCAACATTACCAATCATAACCTTCAAAGTAAATTCCACAGATACTAAGGCAGCATCTATTTACTTTGGTAGTAATGCAAATGCAATAAAGCCTCTCTCTCTGTAGTTGATGTAAGAGCAGATGAAGATGTGAAGTGCGGTAAATGGAGGAAAGAAGGAAACACAAAGTGTGTGTGAAAGTGACTGGTTATATAGATAATCTTCCAGAGATGCATTCCTACTGCAGCATTAAAAATACTTATTATGTACCCCACTGACTTCAAAAGGACACAATATTATTAATGCTACATGGTGGGAGGGGAAGGGGATTTGACTTTTACAGGAATACAGTACTTATATAAAATATCTAATTTAGTTCTATTCCAGCATCAACAAAAATACAATACTGGAGATCACAATTCATAACGAGAGCTCACGCACTAGCAGGGTAAACAAGCGAGGCTAGAAACAGTTGTTTCAACCAATGGGCAAAAAATTTCAGATTTCAGAATTTGTTTCCCTCTGAGCATGCGTGGATACTGGTATTCTCTTCTCTGGATTGCTTTATATCTTGAGTAATACCGGGGGGAAAGTAAATATTGTATAAAAATTGATATGTTATCAAAATGGACTCTTAATCATTACACTTTTAAATTACAAACATATATTTGTTAAACCTTTCAGTAATATCAAATAAGTGGTAAAATGTAAATACAGTACAGTACAATACTTTTTAGCCTCTAAACTAAAACTCAGACAATGCACAAAAATCTTGCATTTTGTATATTTCTGTATCAAGCTATTGTAAACAAATTAACAGTTGCTTGCGTATGACTCATTTAACTTGGAGGTAAATTACAGAAAGCATCTGAAATAATACAGTAAATAATAAACTATTAGCTCCATCATATAAGAAAAAATAACTCAGAAAAGTGTAGGTCAAATGCTAGATTATGTGTATAACTAGAAGAGATTTGATGTAGCTACAGAGGTACAAATATCTTTTAATAATCATGACAACCTGTCCTTCCTGGCTTAAACATTTCATGCCCCAAATTATTTGAGTTGAACATTTTTAATATTTTTAGTTCCTTAACCCTTTGGCTGCAGTACTTCTGCTTGGGCTATATTAGTAATTATCAAAAGAAGGCACCAAGCCGAGGAGACGACATAGCACCATCAGTGGCGCGGGATATTCAAAATGTGCTAAATATCACTAAGGATGATAATACATGAGCAAAAGCCTATAACGCGAGCAATATCAAAGGTATCCAATTCGCCAAGGATTCTATTGAAGGACAAAAGTTCCTGAGGGACATAAGGAAAGCAAGACATACAATCGTCCTGAAAATCAGGAAGGGCAGGAGTGAGGAGGCATGCATGAACTCATAAGAACCTTCCTGAAATATCTACAACATAGGAGATACCCTCCCACCACTCAAGCGTGCTGGTCCAGTGGAACCACGCCAATCCCAAGGACAGTCTACCAGCCAAGATGATACCAGAACCTCGGAATGCACCCAAAGGGGAGGAAGAACTGAACCCAAAGAAGCCGGATACATAACCAAGACGGAAACTAGGACACGTAGGAGGTACGTACATAGGGCCACCCGAGCCAACACCAGGAAACTTGGGAGGACTGAAGCTTCTGGAAGGTTGAAACCGAAGAGCCCAGACACTCAGAAACAAGCCTAGAGGGAAGCAGCACCCAACTTAAACACCTACAGGGAGGGGGTTAAGGAATCCCCCCCCCCCTGCAACCCATGACCCTTTGCAGAAGGCACAAAGCCCCAGAAAAGACCAAACGGGACCCAAGGGTGCCATTCCAACTCCTGGAAACAGCAAACGAGGGACCCAAGGGCGCCATTCCAACTCCTGGAAACAGCAAACGAGGGACCCAGGGCAGAGCCAACATCTACGGCCACTGCCCGAGGTAGAAAAGCAGAGCCCACGGGAGAGGCTTTAAAAGAAGAAACTTGCTGGAAAGACCCAGATGCCATGGGAAGGACCAGGGAACAACACTGGGGTGTTAAAAGTGGAAAAGCCCCAAGCAGAAAAGGGCAAAATGATGAAAAACCTCTAAAAAGAGACAAAATGCAAGCCCAGAATCCCCCAGCATCAATCTGTGGGGAATGAGCCACCAGGGAGAATCATAGCACCAATCAGACTATAAGCTGGAGATCTACCTCAGCACAACGATGAGGCCTTGCGAACCACAGTGCGCCAGACCAGCAAAAACACTTCCAACCTGAGGACAGACAGACAGACAGTCCAAGATCACTGGCTTACCGGAAAGGCCACCACAGGCGAGCTAAGAGCTGAGAAAGTGTGTCCCAAACATCCCAAGGAAAACATCCCTAACAATGCAAGGGTAGCACTTAAGGAGCATCCAGGGGAAACGGAACCCTGAACATATGCACCTCCAAGCACACTAAACTGTCGCTAATGTAAACGAATGATTCCAGGACAATTGAGCTCCAGATAGCCCAACAGGGCAACTAAGAGCCCAAATGGCAACCTGCCTCAAAAGCAAAAACATAGGAGATACCCTCCCACCACTCAAGCGTGCTGGTCCAGTGGAACCACGCCAATCCCAAGGACAGTCTACCAGCCAAGATGATACCAGAACCTCGGAATGCACCCAAAGGGGAGGAAGAACTGAACCCAAAGAAGCCGGATACATAACCAAGACGGAAACTAGGACACGTAGGAGGTACGTACATAGGGCCACCCGAGCCAAGCCGGATACATACAGTATGTCAAACAGGAGGTCAGAGCCAGACCTACTAGAATGGCAAACATACACATCAGAATAAGAACTGGTGGTGAGGAGGCCTGCTGGGCCAGTCTGTCTCTCTTTTCTTCCCAAATGACCAAGAGGAGGTAGTGCATACTTGTGCATGCTAGTTTCCTTGATAGTTTGTTTACATTGTTGGGGGGTTCTTTTGGACAGTTTTGAGGCTGCAGTCTCGTTCTAACCATGTAAAAGTTTGTTTTGTATCGCTGACTTTCTGGGTGCTTTGCCTGGTGGCAGCAGACGTTAATAACTTTAAATGGAAGGTGTTCATAGTGTCACCGCTCCCTGCACCTCTTTGAGACGACCAGGTTCTGGCTCACAGTACTTGGTAGGTCAATAAAAGCTCCGCAACTGATGGCACCTAGAAATATGGCACTAAATCAGTGTAATAGCTTCAAGTAGCATCAAGGGGCTCCCCCTAGAAATGGTGCTCTTTCCACATATACCAAGAAACATCTTTTAAAATATATTTTAGATTGCATATATATAAAAAATAAAAAGGCACAATTAAAGAACGGTCTAAGAATGACTACTGTAAGAAAAATATCACTATGGCAAATGGCATCATAACCGGCACCTGTCAGTCTACAAACATGCCAGTCTACACACTTACAACTTGATGCAACTACCAAGCCCACACACACCCTTCCTTCTTTCATTGCTAAGTGGCTGATACAGGGACCAAAATATCGTTTTGAGGGTCAAATGTCTGGACGAACATTACATAATATAAAAAGTATTTTCTTGGGAAAACAGTTGGGAAAACTTGCTTAAGCTGTGAACACCTATTTATTGTCAAGCTAATACTGCACTACTGTATATTGCAGCCAAAGGGTTAACAGCTCTTTATAATCATATTGGGCTTCAGAAAGTAGCACAATTTAACATTTTTGAACAACATAACATAACATTTTGAACATATAAATCACCTTATAATGATTTCAGTTATTTTAACTCTAATATACCATATTTACATGATTATAAACTGCCCCATTTCTGAGCCGCAGGGTAAGTTTTGCACACATTTCATACTAAAAACCTTAAACGTAAATTCTAAGATGCAGTCTAATGACGTGTCGTCATTTTAAAACAAAATAAAAATTACATTCACATTAAGAATGGCTCTTAACACAAGAAATGTGTATAGTATATGCCCCGAGTGGTGTCTATGTTATCTCTTTCTCTCACGATATGTCTTGGGGATTTGTAAATGTGTTCTCTAATGTTGTCGTATAAAGAAATTATTATGCTATTGTGTATCATTTATAGTGGTTTGATAACATGTTATTTAAAAATATATAAAGAATTATCAAGCCTTCCTTATGCTCCCTTGTTGCAATTACATAATATTAAATTTTTTGTTTATAATTAAAAAAAAATATTGTAACAATTGCCTAGACTGTAACTTGGCTTATTTCACCTCAATACTGGTAATTATCACAATTGTTCAATAAATACTATATGAATAAAATTTGCTGAACAGTACATATACAAAAAATAATAATAAACAATTAGGATATGTTCAAATTAATAACAGTAAATAGATTTGCAGAGTTCAACATTGCAGTGATGATGTCTTTGGTGGTAACTTTTGTTGACGTGGTAGTGGTGATTTGTGGAAATTGTGGTGGTGACTTGTGGAAATTGTGGTGGAGACTTGTAGTAATAGTTGTGGTAACTTGTAATGACTTGTGGTAACTTGTAGTTATCTTGAGATAATTTCGGGGCTTAGCGTCCCTGCGGCTTGGTCCTCGACCAGGCCTCCTTTTTGTTACAAACATCCAGGAAGCAGCCTGCAGCAGCTGTTTAACTCTCAGGTACCTATTTACTGCTAGGTGAACAGGGGCATCAGGGGGAAAGAAACTCTGCCCATTTGTTTCCACCTCCAAAGGGGATCGAACCCAGAGCCTCAGGACTACGAATCCGAAGCGCTGCCCACTCAGCCGTCCGGCCCTATATGGTTGATTGACCCATAATGGTTGTGGTAACTTGTGGTAATGGTTATGGTAACTTAGGGTAATGATTGTGGCTATTCAATATCTTCCTAGCAAGCATAAGAAATATTTCTGAATCAATGGCGGTTTCTCTTAAAAAAATGTTCGTGCAAGAACTGTTGTACCAACTAGGTTGTAGTGGATATGTGGGCGTATGTGTCACTCCAAGCAACAGTCTAAAACTCTCAGAACCCACTCCAGGTATGACCCAGGTATGGTTGTGACCTAGTGATGATAACGTGGCTGCTTTATGGCGACGTGGTGGTGATCGTTTCATTACAAGTGACAAGTGAAGGTGGCGAATACAAGAGATTGTACTGTAATTTTAATAAGCTTTGCATTCTATTTTAAGCAACACCTTCTCCACCCTCTTTTGCCATTTTTTTAGGGGAAAGGGGGATGGGAGACGGAAGGAAGAAAAAAGGTGCAGTTTATAATCGTGCAAATACGATAATAGTATATCTTGCATACAGATATTCTTTGAAAACCAACATCATAACATTTATAAAGATGTACAGAATCATAACAGTACATATTAGGTATAGGCATCCGCATTGAGTTCAAAAAGCATAACATACTTCTCATGCATATCTTTCTTTTTTTTATTATTTTTTTTCCTTTTTAAATTTACTGAAAGTAAAGTATGCCAGACAAAATTTCTAAATCATACCTTAAAATAATACCTATCAGAAAATAATACTAGTATGTACATCAGGCTTAGTAAAAACATGATCTATTTCAATTTCAGAACAATTCAAAACTGCAATGGAAGAGTGCACTAAACTAATACATGAGTTTCTAAGAATAGAATCTACTCTGTTATTGTACATTTCATGATAAAAGATAAATATGAACTACATTCAGTGTAACAGTGATTTTCACTACAAATGTGAGATACAAGGTATACCTTATGACTGAAGGGATCTATAATTCTATATCAGAATTGCTTTTATAGAGCTGATACCTCAAATGAGCTGAAGTGCGATGTTCATATTTATGATCAATCTATTTACTTGACATATATTTTTTATATAAAATATGCTTTAAAAGGATTTAAGATTTGAAATACAATTCACAGTTTCCTATCATTTACCTGGGCCAAGTCCTGACACCGACAGTTCGTAACAATGACAATGTTCACTGCTGTACAATCACATTTTGCTCATTTGTGAAACCCAAAGAACATGTGCTAAATTGCGGAAAAGCTAACAAATCCAAAAATTAAGGATATTATACAACAGATAGAATCAAACATAAGTACTGTACTGACTTTAGATTCATGTCATCTTTACCCCTTAACCAAAAATTCCCGACTAGAATTTTCAACAATTTACACAGGAACAATTATATCGTGTCTCATTTTTATAAAATATAAATTTAAAATGCTCGGTCTGCAAATAAATCTAACTGATGCCTCTGAAAAAATGACAAAGCAAATACAGCATGTATATTTCAATGTTACTCGAGTTTATTTTAGAACATTTTCGTATTATGTGTAAACACGATGTTGTATTCTGGTTTCTTAAATCCAATTCATGTCTTTAACAAACATTAAACTTTTATCAGAAAGTTTCATACTTTGTTTCATAGAAAAATCTATTTTAATATTAGCAATATGGTGAAACAGTACCTGCCACAAGTGACTAATTGTGTTCATTAATAGGCACACAGCACTATGCCATTCTGATAGCGTTATAGGTCCATGTCATCAGAGTCTGGTAGATCAGGCAAGTCATCCAAGTGTGGAACTCTGTGAGGCTCAACAGCATTAAGATCAAGTAGTGCAGTATTGTTATTTTCCTCCAGCCACATAAAGTTTGGTGCATTGTTATTGTTATTGTTAAACTCCATACGCTCGGAAAAGTCGTCATCTGCCATGGGATCAGGTAATGGGCTAGCGGGCCTTCTTAGGGGAGGTAGATATCCCCCTCGAGAACCAGATGATGTAGATGGAAGTGATAATAAATCGTCGCTAGCATCTGATGATCCTACTGTGATGCTTGTGCTAAGTGAGGCTGCTGATGATGATGACAATTGTGATGATGAGGAGGAGGAGGAAGAGGATGATGATGATGAAGGTGATGTCGAATTCTGGCCAAGAAAAGATAAGGATGGTGGAGGGGATGAAACCGAGATACCAGAATCTGGCGAGCTGCTGGTTGATGTGTCTCCTGTGCTTGTAGAGTTGGAGGCATTAGTCACAGAATCAGAGGGAGAACTTTTATTCTCTGCATTTTTAATCAGAGTGCTTAAGCTTGGCGTAATTATGTTTCTGATGAGGTTTTCAGGGGGTTGCCACAACACTACTTCCATGCTGGGCTTAGTTCTGAAAATAATAATCCATCATTAAAACACAATACTGTAATATATGTTATTGTACTGTATTATTTTTATCTTTGAGCATTTTTTATACATTTACATATTGTACTAGTATATAAAGACATAATAATTGTGCTCCCAACATGATCCACCCCGAGAAGTGAACCGAAGTCTAGCAGGCCATCAAATGGCTAACATTAATGTTTTTAATATATATTTGTGTATATCATTATTGTCATATGGCATTTGAAGAACAGAACATTTCAGATGGCAATTGGACCAGTCAATTAGCATAAAAATTAGCATGACTACTACCTGCTGATGATTTCGAGGATCAACGTCCCTGTGGTCGTCTCTGACCAGGCCTCATGATTGCTGGCCTGATCAACCAGGCTGTTTAATGCGACTGCTTACAGCCTGATGTACGAGTCACAGCTTGGTTGATCGGGTATACTTAGAAGTTGTTTGTCAAGTTCTCTTTTGAACATGCAAGAGTTTAGCCAGTCACCCATATGTGTGAGGATAATGTTGAAAAGTCTTGGGCTTCTGATGTTGATTGAGTTCTCTCTCAGTGTGCCTTTTGCACCTTTGTTTTTCAATGGGGCTATTTTACACATCCTGCCATGCCTTCTGGTCTCACATGGTGTTATTACTGTGTGAAGATTTGGAACCAGTTCTTCTAATATTTTCTAAGCGTAAATTATCATGTATCTTATGTATGTATGTATGTGTTATGTACATACGTATTATGTCTCTAAACTATTATTATACCAAGGCTGGGCTGGCTGCAGGGAGCTAGAAGGAAACCCTCACATTTAGGACTACAATTTTGTAGGACTCGTAGCAAGAACTGGATCTGGTCCAGCCGAAAGGCAACCACAGCGAGAGTCTTGCAGTCATGAGATAGCACCTCATAAAGAGGAAGGCACCGCAACTAAGCAGATGCGAAGAGGTCCATGTCCGGGCCCTCAAACATCCAGCAAAGCCAAAGGAAGATGTTAGCATCAACGGTTAACTCTGTGGAGTTAACTCGCTGGATGTGAACGGCACTAAAAGCCAAACCCCAAGAGACCAGAAGACGAACAACATGTAGAGAAAAAATGCAGCCACTGCCTCCCAAAGGTCAGGTTTGTAAAGCAAGAACCGTCAACAGCACTACTACAAAGATCAAAATCCCAGCACAAGGAGCACGGCCCAGAGCAGGCTGAAAGCAGCCCCAGAAGGCTCACGAAATGCACGGCAGTGCCCAGGTGTAATGAGTGTGAAAGTCTACTGCAACAACATAACCAACCTTAACACAGAACTGCAACAATCTGACATACCTCGGGAGTGGGGCAAATGGGCAAATCTGTAACACGAAAGCAGCACACCACTAAAGCGAGTGGAAGCAACAAAACCAAGCCAAGCTCCTGGTAATTTTTTTTTTAAAGAAAAAAAAAGGGGTGTCTGCCAGCCAGGAGAGCTCCGGAATCTCACAACGCATCCAACCATGACCGAGGCAAAATCTGGGCCATGACCGAGGCAAAATCTGGGCCATGCCCGGGGTATGTCCAGATTGCCTCCCAAGCCTCCACTAGGGAAGGTGGGAGACCAGAGGCTCCAAAGGACAAATTTAAGGAACCGAAGGGCACCCAGAAATTATCATTGGAGGAGCCACACACAGCATCCCACATGTGGAAAGGGAAAACAAATTCCCTGTACCCAGCACAGAAAACTCTCCACAAAAAGAAGAAGCATACACGAAGGATCAAACAGGACCCAAGGGTTATTTCTCACACCCCCAAAGCCCCAGGAACCACAGCTAAGGGGCCTGGGGCAGAGCCAGAATCCATGCTCAATGCCCAGGATAGAGAAGTGGAGTCCAAGGGAAAGGCTTCAATGGTTGAGACTGGGTGAAAAGAAAGGCCCAGAAAGAACATACTGTATACAAATTAATAATTACAATTTTTTTAATAATGATGCTGGAAGTTGTGATTCTCCAGGAATAATTTGCTTCACTTCATCAGCAATGATAAGACACGCGGGACCTTTGGCTCTGGATTTCCAGGGTCGTGGAATCCCATCGTCTCCCAAACCGTCATCAGGTTCCTCCTCCAGCATCATGTCCATGTCACTTGCACAACCCTGAAAGTAAGACCTTATATTACTGATTGAGCTTAGTATGTAAATACAAATTAAGGAAATTCCTTTAAATAATATTTAACCACGCTCTTAAAAACTAGCATACACACATCACTAAGTTGGAAGACTGTAATTATAAATCTCTAGACAAATATGAACATGCCACAGCTCATGTAGTATCCCTAAAATTGTAAGAAATTTGGGCTCTGGAAGAATCATAGCAGTTCATTAGGGCTCTTAAATCCCTGGAAATTTGGAATCTGGTAGATCCCTGGAGGGTCAGCGATAGTAGTGTGAACATCTTCACCCAGGCTCTGACGGAGTGGGCCACATATATTCACTTGGACTTAACTCCAAAGAAAATCATATTCTGTACAGTAGAGCATAAGTGTGTAATAAGAATTGTGCTTAGTGATCATGTGTTACTTATTTATTTATATATATACATATATACTGTAGGCTGAGGCTATGAGGCTATGGGTCCCCACATTGGCACCAGAGGTGGTACCCTCACAAATTTTTATATATATGTATTATATATATATATTCTACTCACCTATATACTGTATATATTTATTTATTTTCAGCCGACTTTAACCAGGCCGAAACGTTCACTTCCTTTCACATTTCTCTGTGGATTTTCCGCATACAGTATATATATAAGTCAAGCTCTGCGTCGAAGCTAGGAGCCTGAGAGTTGGCTACAGTTTTTTTCACTTTGATAGCTGCTAGTAACTATACTAGTACTTGATGTAATTTGTATATATGCTGTAGTCTGTAAGTTGAGAGGCTTGCAAGGAATATGTTAACTGGAAAAGTGAGACATATAATCCACATATCAATAGCACTAAAATGCACTTACTTTTTTACCAAGTCGATGATTGTAGTAACTTTCTGAAAGATGGAGAGAATTTAGATGCGCAGCCATTCTCTCTTCACTGATGTGTTGCTTGGTTATTGGTTTCCTGCATGTAGAGGAAAAAAAATAATAACAAACAGTTCTGTATAGAGAATAAAGATAGGCATCATCAGCTGAACAAATCCACAAGGGCCAGTTTGAGGGTTCAAACTTACATCCGGGATAATCCCAGACGCGCCTTAGTCGACTGCGCCACGATAAATTAAGGAAATATGGTGTGTAAATATCATCACATTCACAACGATGCCAATATTTAATCGTTGAATAACATTAATGTGACTTGGAGATATTCAACTTGGATTCTTTAAAAGCCCACCAAGAAAAGTGGGCTTTTAGTATAAAGTAGTGTATATATATTATGAAACCAACCCACTTTGTGATAGCTTAATGACCTTCAACATACTCAATTCCCATACTGCTACAAACAATTCTTAACTTTCCTGTTTTATGATGAAGAAATTGAACATTTGAAAGATGAATTAAAGCACTCAGTGGTAAGAATTTGAGCCAATTACTAGCCCTACAAACTCTTGGCAATATATATATGCTTCTCTCTTAAATTAATATACTGTAAATATATATACATAATTTTTTTTTAACCCAAATAAGGGTACCACCTCTGGTGCAATTGTAGGGACCCATAGCCTTGGAGAAGAAAACAAGGAGTACCTAGAAAAGACGTTGTGGATCCTCACTGAACACTAATATTTTATTCTACCACCCCTATTCTTTTTGTATACTGTAGAAATATATATATCTCATTTTATTTTATTTAAAATTTAATTACACAAAAAGGGTTACAACATTGGTTACATGCAGGGTACAAGGCTACTTGTCATAGGTTGTAGAGTTCCTCCAGCTCCTCAGATGGCAGGCAGGAACCATGGATGCAGTGAGCATTTGCTTTCTGGGTCGCTACACTAAAGCGCTGAAAGTGGAAACTGGCAGCTCTGGGGTCTCTAGTTTTTTCAATTAGCTTAGAACCCAGTTCCTTAAAAAAACTAGCAGCACCTTTACCCCAGGCACCAAGTGTCTCTGAGGCAATGGGGACCAAATTGTAGTGGTGATCAAGATCTCTGTATTTATGAGACTTAGCTGCTTCCCAGTGATTGGCAGCACCACCTGCCTGTGCAGCACTGAAGTTAACATAGGTGTTGGCCAAAGCTGAAATGCAAGTGTAGTCCCACACCAACTGTCTACCATTCTTCCAGGGGTGCTGGATGTCCAGTCAAGTGTTGGTGCTAGATGTCCAGGTCAAGTGTTGGTGCTGGATGCCCAGGTCAAGTGTTGGTGTTGGATGTCCAGTCAAGTGTTGGTGTTGGATGTCCAGGTCAAGTGTTGGTGCTGGACACCCAGGTCAGTGTTGGTACAGGCCCATTCCTCCCCCCTTCCATATCAAATGTAATTAACCCAAAACGAGGTTAATCAGCAAAGGGGGTTACTAACCACTTCTTGCCTAATTTCTAATCCTAATACCTATGGACAACCATACATGGTTGTCCATAATTTCCCCCTATAATTTCACAAGGCCAAGTCTACAGGTGATGAGTTGGTAAAGAATTTCTAATATGCATAGCTAACTTCCATATAACATTAACTTACATTTTAACATTAACAAAACCTCTATTGCAACATGAAATGGCAGGAACATTTTGGCCCCCACCATTAATATCTTTCCGACCCCTGCTCTTATGCCTTTAAATATTGATTTCATTTATTCACCCCATATGAGCCTACCTTGTACAGTAAATGGTTGCTCCTTCAGGAAGGATGAAGGCTGGAGCAGATGGGCCTAAAAACTGAGGAGTTTCAGTTTTTTTTTTTACTGTGCACATTAGGTCTTTGCTAAAGGTTTTTCCTTATCCTTAACATAACGTTTTCTAAATAAGCTTGGAGGTCTACTATAGCTCCTCCATAATTGAGCCAACATACAGTACTGTATAATAATATTATTATTATTATTTAAGATAAAAATACACACTCATGTATTTTTTAATTTGATGTAAAGATTTACACCACATTTGTTGCACTTTCCTGAGTGCTTTGTCAAGTATGTGGTTAGGACAAAACTTACATCTCAACAACTAATGTGGCTCACTGTTTTATATATATACACATGACTTGATTTTGTCTATTGTACATTTCTTTTTCTTCTTCTCTGCCAAAACAATATTTTCTCCAAATACTGTATATCTTTAATAATAACTTCAATGAGTTTACTTTTTAATAAATTAACATTCTCAAATATATTTCAGTCTTCAATTTTATCAAATCATCTAATACTGTATTTAAAATAATCTGTTTAGTAATACAGCACATGTGTCCTTTATTCTAATGTATTTTCTATCAATCTCTGCATTATTGCAGTGTGTATATTCCTCCAATGGTTTTGTTATTGGGCAAAGAGAGGCCTGCACACAAAGAACGTGCTAATTCAAACCTCTGCAGCACGAATCTCTGGGTAATTCAATTAAAACGGAGTCAAAGTTCTTGTTCATTGAATTCAGATAGAACTCTAAAAAGCTGGGCTTTGCTGTCAAGTTAGTAAACAATTATATTAATACATTAATAACAAAATATATAAAAACAGTATAAAATATTGTAACTATTCCATTAAACGTGTGTGTAAAGGCCGTATAGTATATTTCCCGGCTAAAATAAAGGAATTTGTTTCATCTGGTAGGCCACATACCATCTCCTGAGTGGACCCATCCCACCTTGTGAATATGCCTAGCCAAGCATTTCTTTCCTATCTTGATATACCAAAGTGATAGACCATAGCAGAAAGAGTTTCATTCCAAAACTTTGTTCTTGAAAATAAATTTGGATAATATTTGGCCAAGAACATGTCTGGCAGTAGCAGCAATCAATGTGGAGGTGTTAAGAAAAAGAAAGTTACTCTATCAATTAAGGATAAGGTTAGAGTCATTGAACTTTGTGAAAATGGATTTCCTGTACTGATGTGAGTGTTGCAATATCATTTGGGATAGAAGTAAGTACCCTGTACTGTGTTTAATAATAAGGAAAGAACGTACAGTACAGTAGTACACGCAATACAAACACTTGTATAGCAGAGGCCAGAACAGCTATTAACTCCACCAAGATAAGTTTTTGTCATTCAATTTTGACTTACTTTTATGAAGATGCTAACATAACAATGTAAATTGATTATTATATGTGGATATACAAGTTACGTTGTGGTACAATATACTAGTATGTATAGCAATTTTATTTGACATATGGCATAAGCAATTTTGGTAATTTTCATATCCACTTGATCAGGGTTATCCCATATGATCAGAATTAGTGAGCTTAGACCATAATCAGGTTATTCAAGCCTTCCCCAATTCTAGGCCAACTATGGATCTTTCCTAGGATGCAACCCACACCTATTGCCTAACTCCTGGGCACCTATACACTGCTAGATGAAGAGAGGCATCAGGTCCAATCATCTCTGTTCTACTGTGGACATTGATCCCGGTACACTGGGTTGCGGGCCAACGTTGTCGATCACTGCACTACAGGACTCCGTCAATGGTACAAAGTAAGATCTGCCCAAGCCACTTTTTCTATTAGGCAACTTAAAATTTGTTTTCTTTATATTTTGAAATTAAAATATAGTTAATGATATTTGATACAAATGTGGAAAGTGTGACACATAAGTTTAATACTAAATAATGTAAAATTTAATTGCTAACCAAAACAGTTTTAAATGTGTGATTTTTTCATATTTCTTCTCAACTTGAAGGTTGCTGCTAGTGAAGATAAAAAAATTTGTATGGGTTGTTGTTTTTACTACAAAACCATGGGAAATACCCACTGTAATAAGGTATCAAAGACTCACCCTACCTCAAAGTCTACTAATAATTAGGTACAGCAGTGTAATAAGTAAGAATAGTAAGAGGGAACATAAGCACTGTGAACAGCAATGGTAAACACTAAGTACGAAACTATAAAAAAAAAAAAAAAAAAAAAAAATCCCACTATTTGTTTTAAATTTAGTCTCATTATAATATATGTAAACTTATTACAAAATCATTGGTTTTTCATTATCAAGCTACTTACCCTGTCCTTCCTGGGGGGAGGCCCGTCAGCTTCCTGAAGCTATCACACTGATTAAGTGCCATATTACTAGGTGTCATCAGTTGCAGTTCTATTGGTCTATCAGGGGCCACGAGCCAGAACCTGGCCCCCCCCCTCTAGCGATGTGCAGGGAGCGATGGCCTATGAACACTTTATATTTAAAGTTGATCATCTTTACCACGACCAGGAAAGCTCCAAGATAGATAGGAGAATCAAAACAAATTACTGCATGATTTAAAAACGAGACTGAAGCCCCAGCATTGCCAAAAGAACTCCCCCTAACAATGAAAACAAACCAAAATTTGGCAAAACTAGCCCCTAACTAGTTTGCCCTACCTTCCCCCTCATTTGGTGGAGGAGGGAGCTGGCCTGGGTCAGCCAGGCCCCCCCACCATTCAGTTCTTTAATGATGCCTGTACTTGATGGTCATTGTTGCTCTGGCTCCGGTCTACCATTTTCGAGTGCCGTTTCTCGCTATCTCTTTCACCTCTGGCCTGCTCGAGCACCATTTGAACCTGCCTGGTGTCTGAACTGGGTTCTATCTTTTCCTTCTGTACATTTGTGTTGGCCCCCTTTGGTTCGTGTTTTGTTTTCTTGGCCTTGGTGGGTGTTTGATTATTTGCTGCTGGCTCTTCCTATTCTGTGAGGATTGGGTCGATGGTCATCTGGAGGGGTCCTTTGGTTGTGGGGTTTTGGCACCTGGTGTCTTGTGCCCATTCCGGGTCCTTGGCGGACCTATGTGACTTTGGGTCATGAGTTGCAGTTGCCGGCCGCTTCCTCGTCTTGATACCTGCAATGCTGACACCTCCCCGGTTGGTGCCCCTTTTGTCCTTCACTGTGGATAGTTAACTTCAAGGAACTGACACAGCCCCTCTTCCCCCAGAAAACCAATCTTGAATTTAATGAAACGCCAGTCTCTGGGTGAACCCAAGAGGTTCCCGTCACCCTCCCTCCCCAAGGGCA